AACTCATGCTTGCCCCCCCTTTTTTGACCCGTCAGGCTGCATGCACGAAAAAGAGTCTGGATGGATATTGGGAGGACTCCATGTCAAGTTTTTTGCTTAGAGTTCCTCTTTAAAATCCATAACAGACCCAACGTGAAAAACATGCTTATCTAAAGCTGGACTCCAGATATAAAAGGCATAATTTAGTGCAGCTCCATAACAAATATTACATATATGTGTCTGTTTTAATGCATGAAGAGTAAGTACCTGAATTTATTTGGATTTTTTCTCTTGCCTCTAGCCTTTAATTAAAGCTGCATATTTAAATATATTGAAAATTACTTTCAAAATTGAATTTACCATGTTAAAGTTTATATTATTTTGACTTTACATATACTTTAGCTCTCCTCTAGCAGAATAAGTAATGGTCACCCCTAAAAACAAGCCCTTAACGCTTTACTTTTCTAACCACGTAACATTTAAATTTTCTCATAACATTTAACCTGATCCAATTCTAACACTTTAACAAATCCCTTAAAGTGCCTAGTTCCAATGAATGTTACTTACCAACAAGAAGGCAGGGCTAACAAATTTCCAGCAGAGTCTCCAGTATAGGCCAGGCTTAAATCCAAGCATTCTGTAAATGTCATCACTGAACCTATCCACACCTGAAAAAGAGCACAAACATGTAAGGATTATTTTGATTAAAGATTCCCATCATTTCATGTGGCTTGGCTAGGGTTATCATCTCCTTCTTCCAAGGTAGATAATAGACATGTGTGATTCATTTCATCCCGAATTGAAATTCGTACAAATTTTTGGAAATTCGGATGCATTTTTGAATTTTTATTCCGAATGTCATTTGGAATGAACTTGTATTGTTAAAACTTAAAATCAAAAAAACAAACAGCGTGGAGTCCCCTCCTAATTCATACCAGATCCAGGGGGACCCAAACACGTGGGGTCCCTCCCAAAATCCCTTACCAGACCCTTGAACCAAGCAGCAGCCTGGCAGAGCAGGATAGGAGGAGGGGACGAGCGTGCACCCCTCCCCCCGCACCATACCAGGCCACATGCCCTTGATGGTGCTTTGCCATGTCGATGAGGACAAGGGCCTCTTTCCCACAACCCTGGCCCAGTGATTGTGCGAGTCTGCGGACAGGGGGGCTTTTCTGAGTCTGGGTGCCCCCTCTCATCAAGGGGCTACTCGCTGCTGTTCTGCCTATTCTCATAGGGGCCGAAGGGCAGTGAGTGAATAGCCAAATGCTGCCGAGCGGCATTCGGCTATTCTGTTCGTTACCCACGTAGAATAGAAAAACAGTGAAAAAAAGCAGATTTTTTTTTTAGAAATGTAAATAAATTATCAATTTAAAAAAAGAAATAACGATTTTTAAAAAAAAGAACAAAATTAAAAAGTATTGAAAAAAAAAAAAATTTGAAAAAAGAAAGAAACAATTGGGCAGAGCTAGCAGTGACAGCTAGCTCTGCCCAACTGTTTCCTATTGGCCAGGACCTGCTAGAGTCTTCTAGAAGGTCCCGGCCAAGGAATAACAACTGGCCGGAGCCGGCCGTGACGTCACGGCTGGATCCTCCACGCTGTCATTGTTTAATGACAGTTCAGCATCCCCAGGTAACCTGGGAACACTAATCTGTCATTGCAACTCGGTAGAACCAGCTGTGAGATGGCCAGCCGTTCGGCCCGCTTCGGTTTTCACCTCAGCTCAGTCGAGCTGAAGCATATGCCTTCAGCTAGGCTGAGCCACTCGGCCAGCTCCGGGAGCTGTACGGGCTATAATGAATATCATTCGGCTAGCTTTGTGAATAACCCTCATAGATTGTAAGCCCTCACTGGCAGGGACCTCATTACCATTGTGTCTTGAATTGTATTGTAACTATGTCTTCCCTATGTTGTAAAGTGCTGCGTAAACTGTTGGAGGAAGTCGGGTAGCATGTCATTACCAGCCACCTGGCTTTCTGATTGCCCAGGATGCCGGCTCCATGCCAGCTGAAGCACCGGTATCGGTACTCAGTATCGGCGAGTACCAAAAGCAAAATATCATTAATTGTACTTGATACCAAAAATCCGGTATCTGTGCATCCCTAATTACTATATATGACAGCTTTCAATGGTTGCTAGAGACACAATGAGTGCCTGCACCCACTGTGTCCTTAGCAACCACTGACGTCACCCAAGCCATATGCATACATGGCCATATAAGAAAAGGGGCAGTGATAGTGGTGACATAATTGCCCAAATATGGCCTTGCTCCTTCCCACAGATCAAGCAGCAGTTATTTAATGAATGGCTATCAATGTGGGTGGGTTGGTGGGTTATTTCTTTTGAGGGGCGTTGTTCATTGTGATTGATGAGGATCCATATTGCTGGATAAGGTGAATGACAATGGATTAACTTCTTGGGACTTTTTTAATTATTATTTTTTAATAAAGTGCTTGTCAATGTCTTTATTTACTCCATTATTTTTGTGAACAAGGAGGGGAACATTAGAGTTGGCATCGGGGGGGTGGGTGGGTTTATCCACAGTATATCCACACATGCTATTGGGGGCTGATTGTGGTTATGAGGCACTTGTTTACCGCCCCTTCCCCAGCAAGGTACCCTCCCCATGTTGATGGCATGTGGCCAGGTATGGTTCAGGAGGAGGAACTCATGCTTGCCCCCCCTTTTTTGACCCGTCAGGCTGCATGCACGAAAAAGAGTCTGGATGGATATTGGGAGGACTCCATGTCAAGTTTTTTGCTTAGAGTTCCTCTTTAAAATCCATAACAGACCCAACGTGAAAAACATGCTTATCTAAAGCTGGACTCCAGATATAAAAGGCATAATTTAGTGCAGCTCCATAACAAATATTACATATATGTGTCTGTTTTAATGCATGAAGAGTAAGTACCTGAATTTATTTGGATTTTTTCTCTTGCCTCTAGCCTTTAATTAAAGCTGCATATTTAAATATATTGAAAATTACTTTCAAAATTGAATTTACCATGTTAAAGTTTATATTATTTTGACTTTACATATACTTTAGCTCTCCTCTAGCAGAATAAGTAATGGTCACCCCTAAAAACAAGCCCTTAACGCTTTACTTTTCTAACCACGTAACATTTAAATTTTCTCATAACATTTAACCTGATCCAATTCTAACACTTTAACAAATCCCTTAAAGTGCCTAGTTCCAATGAATGTTACTTACCAACAAGAAGGCAGGGCTAACAAATTTCCAGCAGAGTCTCCAGTATAGGCCAGGCTTAAATCCAAGCATTCTGTAAATGTCATCACTGAACCTATCCACACCTGAAAAAGAGCACAAACATGTAAGGATTATTTTGATTAAAGATTCCCATCATTTCATGTGGCTTGGCTAGGGTTATCATCTCCTTCTTCCAAGGTAGATAATAGACATGTGTGATTCATTTCATCCCGAATTGAAATTCGTACAAATTTTTGGAAATTCGGATGCATTTTTGAATTTTTATTCCGAATGTCATTTGGAATGAACTTGTATTGTTAAAACTTAAAATCAAAAAAACAAACAGCGTGGAGTCCCCTCCTAATTCATACCAGATCCAGGGGGACCCAAACACGTGGGGTCCCTCCCAAAATCCCTTACCAGACCCTTGAACCAAGCAGCAGCCTGGCAGAGCAGGATAGGAGGAGGGGACGAGCGTGCACCCCTCCCCCCGCACCATACCAGGCCACATGCCCTTGATGGTGCTTTGCCATGTCGATGAGGACAAGGGCCTCTTTCCCACAACCCTGGCCCAGTGATTGTGCGAGTCTGCGGACAGGGGGGCTTTTCTGAGTCTGGGTGCCCCCTCTCATCAAGGGGCTACTCGCTGCTGTTCTGCCTATTCTCATAGGGGCCGAAGGGCAGTGAGTGAATAGCCAAATGCTGCCGAGCGGCATTCGGCTATTCTGTTCGTTACCCACGTAGAATAGAAAAACAGTGAAAAAAAGCAGATTTTTTTTTTAGAAATGTAAATAAATTATCAATTTAAAAAAAGAAATAACGATTTTTAAAAAAAAGAACAAAATTAAAAAGTATTGAAAAAAAAAAAAATTTGAAAAAAGAAAGAAACAATTGGGCAGAGCTAGCAGTGACAGCTAGCTCTGCCCAACTGTTTCCTATTGGCCAGGACCTGCTAGAGTCTTCTAGAAGGTCCCGGCCAAGGAATAACAACTGGCCGGAGCCGGCCGTGACGTCACGGCTGGATCCTCCACGCTGTCATTGTTTAATGACAGTTCAGCATCCCCAGGTAACCTGGGAACACTAATCTGTCATTGCAACTCGGTAGAACCAGCTGTGAGATGGCCAGCCGTTCGGCCCGCTTCGGTTTTCACCTCAGCTCAGTCGAGCTGAAGCATATGCCTTCAGCTAGGCTGAGCCACTCGGCCAGCTCCGGGAGCTGTACGGGCTATAATGAATATCATTCGGCTAGCTTTGTGAATAACCCTCATAGATTGTAAGCCCTCACTGGCAGGGACCTCATTACCATTGTGTCTTGAATTGTATTGTAACTATGTCTTCCCTATGTTGTAAAGTGCTGCGTAAACTGTTGGCGCTATATAAATCCTGTATAATAATAATGTAAAACATTTACAAGCAAGAAATGGTCCCTTTGAAAATAAGCCTAGGTGGCTGCCGACTTACACTCATGTGTGGTACTCTAGCTTACAGGAACACAGTGTGCTGCTCCATCAATTGCTCTACAACCAGATTGATAATGAAAATAGGAACCGTCGGAATAACATGAATCCAAGGTTTTCCTGAGATGGCCGATACGAAAGATTTAGAATTGGCTGTAATTTTCAATCAGCTTCTAAATAAATATAAAGATTCTCCTATAGAACTTGATAGAATCCACAGGGCCATGGGAGCGAGATGCCTGACCAAACAGTTCCCAGAGACGTTGTTTGTTGAGTCCATTTCTTCAAAGGTAAGGAAAAGATCAAGCAAGCTGCCAGAAGGGCACGATGCCATTATGTTCAACAACACCCAGATAACCTTTTTTACCTGATCTTTCTGGTAACACACCCGCATTACAAAGGGCATCCAAACAAACTCCTGGAGGACTTACAACAAAGTAAAATCATATACCGTTGGGGGTTTCTCTTTAAACTCTTTGCCTCCCTTGACGGCAAGATGTCCACCTTTCATTCTTTGAGTGACCTTCCTTCTTTTTTGGGGAAGCTTGAGCTAGCACAAAGCGCTCTGCCGGATTGGCCGCTGAAACCAACTCTTCCTGAAGCAACCTGGCAAAATGAAAATCAAGAAATCCTATGGCTGCACCTCTACTTCTGACTCTTCACATACCTGAAGTGTCCCTCCTTTTGTGGTCTCTTTTATTCATACCTCAGATTGCTTTCCCTGTTGTTTCTTGATATTGGAGATCTTTGCCATCCGAATGCTTGTTACAACTTGGTATCATGTACTGATGTGTCACTTCCCTACACTTACCTGTTATTTGCTTTTATAAGTCATGAATCCTCTACACGCCTACTCGAGACATTTCAGGACCTTCCTCACCTGGTGTCTAAATTAATAAAACTGTGTTCCTTACAGTTGTCATGTTCACAATGCTGTGACTGTTTTCTTCATGTCTATATTCTTTTCCCACGCTCATACAGCGAACTTTCCCCTCAAACAAGATGTGTGCTACCACATTCACATCTTTTCCAATTGCTGTATGTTTATACCTGATTTGCTTTATAGTAATGCAGCCCTGATTGTTGCTGTTTGTTCTTACAATTCTTCCTTTTTTGGTAAGTTTGTTTTACTGTATTAGGCCCGGGAGCAGGAGACACCTCATGTGTCTTCTGCATTACCCCATCAAGGTTGTCAGTGTAAATAACCACAGGCTTTTATATGCTGTAGTTTGTTTGCACTTGATGTTAATTGTTTCGTTGCAATCACCATATTACTCCACCAGAGGGAGTCTTACCTCTTTTTTCTGTAGTTTCTTTGTTGTTTTTCTGACTACTCTTGTTTTTACCTCTCTCTTGCTTACCTCTTATTTCTGCTTCCTCTCTCTTGATTTTTTCCTCCTCCTCTTTTCTCTTCCCTCTAGGCCCAGGGAGTTCAGTTTACCTCTTTATTATTTTTTAGTGCCTTAGCAATGAAAAACCCATATATATCATTTACCTCATTGAATACCCAGGGATTTAATATGCCTCAAAAATGGAGTCAAATATTGTATAAGTTTCATAAGAGTAAGATTGGCTACCTGCTCTTGCAAGAGACTTATTTTCAGAGTGATGCTATCCCTAAATTACCTACTAAATACATGCTAAAGAACAAAAAAATGATACAACAAGCGCACCACTGGTGATAGGTCCTAGGTGAAAAAAAGGAAGGGAAGGAAGTTTCGAGGCACAGCCTCTTTCTCAAGCCTAAAAGTGAAGCCCTTCACTTTTAGGCTTGAGAAAGAGGCTGTGCCTCGAAACGCGTAGCCGTCACCACATCGAGAGTCCTACTCGTCATACTGTTGCCGTCCCTTCCAGACTTTTCTCCCCCTACCTAAGACTCATTCTGGTAGCCTATCAATACCTAGCACGCACTGAATACCATCGCTCCCAGCCGTTTGCGGCTTTCCCTTCACAAGCCGCCGCGGCCCAGCCAGGCCAGCCGTGCTGCTAGGGATCGTCACAGTGCTTTTACACTCTTTAGCATTAGGCTCCTTACACTCGCTGTTTATATTTGTACTAAATACATGCAATGGTTTCACAGCACCAATCCTATGGAAAAATCTAAAAGGTGTTTCTATTGCCATACATACAGTAAATCTCTTCAGCTTGAGATCGTGCTACAAAAAACTGAATGTCATGGTAGATACCCTTTCCTTAACCTCCCTGGCGGTATGATTATGTCAGGAATTTTGTACCAAAAGCGGTACAATTTTTTGCATGGAAATTTGGTGTTATGTATTGTAGGCCTGCAATTCTTAGTACATTTTAGAAATAACTCACCTGAATCTGTCCAAACAAGAGTCCAGTAGACATCCCAGGTATGATAAAGTTTGAAACACGAAATGAAAAATGTATAATATAATAAATTATAAATAATGATAAGAAATTATAATATAATAAATAATTATAAAAAATTATA